AAGATGGGGTTGTGTGCCATATGTTAACCATAAATGATTATTTAATTCCTTTTCCACTTACATTTTGGTCTGTTCCTCACACAAAACTATCATTCATGCAACATGAGCAGAATGCATTTGTGTAAATTGTTCATCAAACCATCCTAAGTGTACCGCCCACATTTCAGGAATTAGCCATATGTAGATCAGGAAAGTAGACGACATGTTCAACAGCTTGACTTTGGCTTCAGTGTTCTTGTATAATTTCATCGTTTTCCGATTCAGCAGCATTAATCTGATTTGTTATTACAGCGCAAAGCTATCGTACATCTGGAGCCACCAGCCACGGCAAAACGGACAGTGAGTTGTGTAGCTTATTAGACACGCAAGCTTTGCAATCAAAGTCCTCTGACAAACGGCTTCAGCTTGCTAGGAGTTCGCCATGGTGCACAGGGAGCCCTTGAGCAGGTGGCACGGTGCCATTTGGGTCTCAGTGAATTATTCATTTCAGAAGGCGCTACTGTCAGTGCGCTGATCTTGATCGGTAGTGATGGGTATATCAGTCACGCTTGCGAGACACCGGAGCCGCGTCTTCTTCAGCAGTCTTCCTCCTATCATGGTGAAGTGGAAGCTAATAGTGACGTATCGTCTTCTATTTCAAGCCCTGCTGCGTAAGGTGGATTGTGAAATTGCTTTGTGGAGTTGCAGGCATGCAGGAGAAAGCATTAAATAAATAAATAATAGCTTTTTTATGTCTCAGGTCGCACACGAAAGAACAATGTGGAATTCAAAATCATCTGTCAGCATTTCCGCACTCTTCATATTTCATGATACACTTTTGCATCTATTTATACCTCTTTTCTGTGTTGATAAATATGTTGGTTTTTAGGAGTGGATATTAAAATACTGGCACCTGTAATGGGAAAGATCATGTTTCACCTTTTATAATAATTGCTTATGCATTTTGTTAAATATGTGCTAATATATATTCAGTGTTTCAGTGATATGTTCTACTAATAAGAGTCAAGTACTTTGGACACCTGACTATAGATCCACCCAATGTCCAAAATTCACCAAGTACCAAATATGTATTTTGTAGAGTAAATAAAATGGTTACTAGTGGTTCAATGGATCACAAAACTCACGGATCGGATTGGATCGTTTTTCGGATTTCAATGTAACTTTGTTTTCCATTTATTATTTAAAGTTAAGTATTTCTTCAATACCACAGCAAAAACTACTAGCCTAACTATGCAAGTTCAAACATGATTAAATACAAGTGAACAGCCAATAAAAATAAGAACAAAAATACACAAATTGCAAGCATAGATAAATACAACAGAACAATGTTACAAATAAAATAAGGTCGCAGTATTCAGGTACAGAAATGTAATAATTAAGTGTAAAATTACACTAGTGTTCACTGTATAAATTAAATGTAGATTAATCTTCGTCAAACCTGTTTTGTTGTTTAATTAGCATTAATGACAGCAGCAGGTATTTAAAGGCTGCTGTCCCTTTAAGACGGATCCAATATGATGATATACATCCGATTTCTTTTTCAGCTGTTTTCTTTCAGTTAAGACATAACTGATTGCGTTTACCAGAATGATTGTTGAGATGGGTATTTTGGAGATGTGAAAGAGTTCGGTATTCGCGCACAGTCTGAAACGCGCCACGGTGTTTTGTTTGTGCGGCTGTGTGCATAGAATAACGAATCGTGTTCCCTTACACCTTTTCTCTTGTTGGAATGGTTTAAAATTACTTGAGCATGTAAACACATACAAATGATAAACTTTAACTCTATTATGGTTAAGTTTTGCAATTAATCCGTGGATCACATGCGTGTCGAACCGTGGGGCCTGGTCCGTACAGATCACGGATCAACTACGATCCGTTCAACCACTAATGGCTAACATTTGATCTTTAATTTTTTTTTTTTCAATAACTAGTTTTTTATACCTAAGCTGTTTGCTACAAATATATAAATCTGGCAACCGTTTACAATTAGTTTCAGTTTGTAAACATTAGTTTAACACAATGCATGAACAAACAGAAAACTATTACAGAAGAAGAATGTTATTGCAGCATTTGTAATCTTAATTCATTCAAATACTAACGTTTAATATAAACTTGTGCAGTAAACAATAAAAAAGTGTTTTTATTGTTATTCTGCATTGTCTCATGTACAGCACTGTGGTCAACATTTGTTGTATTAATATGTGCTCTATAAATAAAGTGAACATTGAACAAAGTGAACAAAAAGGTATATAATCAATATTAATAAAAGCTGTAAAATGATTGTTCTTTGTTCTTTTATATCAAATGCATTTGCACAAATAATACTGTTTCATTATCATGAAATACTATTTAATACATATTATCTATTGACTCAATGTTGGCACATATGGAAAGAAGTTAATTTTGGGCCCTGAATGCATATTTTGAATTTAATGCAGTTTGCATAATATTTATCTAGTTCTTAAGAAGATGTGACCATTTCTCATTGCTTTTTTAAGTTCTTGTGGCTGGTTTTATTTTCAAAGAAATCGCTGATTAAGGCTGTAAGTTCTCCGCTCCTCCCCTGTGATTCTTTTCCAGTCAACTGAGTCTCTGAACAGAGTCTGCCAACTGACAGCGTCCTACTGGGAGATCAGAGCACCTCATTGCTTCAAACTCCCCTCAGCGGCCAGAAAGTTTTAAAGTCGTTTAATTTTTCATAAAGTCCTGTTACAAAGGGCAGAAATGATAATGTATTATTGATGTCTTCAGCCCCAGTGGAGGCAGTTCTCTTGTATTAATGCAGCAGAGACGCACACAAGATGCTTGATGACACTCAGTGGCCCAGCGTTGGCACTAATAATTTAACACCTTAGTGCTCTTTTTGAATGCATTATTAGATAGTGTTGTTTGGTCATTTGTCTCTCATTTATGGGTTAGTAATTTGTTCAAACCCCGAACACAAGGTATTTAAAGTACACCATTTTATAAATTCTGACAAATAAACAAATGCGTTTCTGTCCTCAAAATAACTGGAATAATGCTCCAGTCAGGCACATACAGTGTGTTCCTGACTAATTTTTCACCGTGTGAAGCCTTTTGGCTATTGTAAATATTTTCTAAAGCACCGTTAGCATATTAAGGTCCTCACGAAGGCCCGTTCTTTCAAAATACCATGCAGTTATCTGTGCTCAATGGACCGATGGCCTCGTTGAGGGGACTTCATTGTGAAGTTTCTCAGAAAGACTCTACTAGCATCGACTCTCTTGCGTCCCAAGGTCAACGCAACCCTAGCCAACTACGCTGTGTTGCCACGGTTACCACAGCAACTCTCTCGTCTTGGCAACAGCCTCGCTTCTGTTTGCTAAACGCGTTAGACGCTGTTATTTCATCAGGAGTAGTTTAGATGTAGAAGAAGCTCTGGAGCACTTATTGTTGGTAATGGCAAAACAAGGGAACAATTATTCTGATGCTTTTAAATATGTTTGTCTGAAAGAGGCAAGAGCTTTTAGAAACATTATAGTGGATGTTCCTTTTGGGCATCTTGTGTGCTTTTTAAAAATTAAAAATGACTCTTTAATGCCCCAAAATGCTGTTTAGGTTAGCAACATACAAGGTTTTGAGGCATGAACAACAATGAGGTCTCATCAATGGTTGGACGCTGAATATATATATATATATATATATATATATTATGCCTTGCAGACTTTTCTGTGGTTTTATGTGGCATGTGTTTATAAGATTTGCTTGTCAACTTTTCACATTGGTTAAATGATCTAGATGGCTAACTCAGATGAGAGTTCGAGTTTTCTGTATGATTATAATACCTTTTTTGTAAAAACATTTTGATGAAAAAATATAATTTGTAAATATAAAATGTGGACTAATGTTTGTAAATAATTATCAAATAAGTATTAAATAAATGTAATTTAAATGCTAATAAATAAAATGCTAACTTGATTCTTTTACTGTGTGATTTATTGAAATGCATCAGTGTTGGCATTTTTTTAAAAAGTGGTAAAAATGGTAGTTGCTGACTCATGTCTAGAATCATTAAAGAAACTCTCAGTTCAGTCTCAGAACAGAATCTGTATCTCTTTTGTTTGCTGTCTTTGCCAGGATGTGTATTTATATAAGCGCTCCATCTGTGAATATTTGCATGTGCATTGGCTGAATCAACCATTCATCTGTCTGTCTGCAGCATTTCATCACAAGCCAACTGATATCTGACACATCCTTCATTGGCACTGAGAGGTTTTTCTCTCAAAGAGAAAGAGGTAAAGATGGCTGTCTGTATCCAGACACATGTTGCATTTATTTCTGAGATGTGATTCCCTGGAGAGCCACTACCATTTTTATAATGTCACTAAGTTCTCTAAAGACGTGGCCTTTTCATTTCCTTCACACTGAATTTTTCTCATTTGTCTGCGATGGTAATCAGGTTCTCCTGCAGCGAGGAGCAGTTGTGTTTCTGAGGCGCCATGCTCTCCATATCCTGCTGACTGTGATCTGATTAGATGTCCATTAGTTCAGTTTCAATTAAGACTGGCTGGATAGCCCTTCTGCCCCAGTGTAGATCACGTCATGACTTAGAGATGCTCTATAATTAATCAAACAATTTCCTGAAAGCTTACTTGAAAGATTTTGATTTTAGCTGGAAGTGCAACTGGGTCATTCCTGTTCAGAAGAACCTTTGAACTGTAAGGAATATGCTTGTGTTGATATAAGCAGATATTTCTATTAAGATTTATAAAGGGCATTCAGAAATGTTCTGTTTGATTAATTATATCTAGATTATATATTATTCAGCATAATTTGATAATCACTTGAATTAATGTTGCTGTGATAAATAGAAAATCTTTAAACATGCCTTTAAACATAATTCTGTTTATCGCCTACTTTCTACAATTGATAAGTGCAATCTTAATTTTCAGATTTGAGTTATTGTAAAGGAAGTTAAAATTCATCTATCATTGAAAACAATAAGTGCTCAAAGCCCCTTTGTTTATTTTTTTTGCCAGATCTTCACACGCTATGGAAAATGCTACACCTTCAACTCTGGACAGGATGGACGGCCACTGCTGATCACCATGAAGGGAGGGATGGGAAATGGGCTGGAGCTGATGCTGGATATCCAGCAGGATGAGTATCTGCCTGTGTGGGGAGAGACTGGTACGTCTCGTTAACCCTAGTAATCTCATGTGTCTTCTCAGTTTTAGATGAGATCCCATAATATTAACCAGCCCGAATGTGAACAGTTGCTTTATTTGTGTCTGTTTGTATTTCTCCTAAAGAACTATAGGAAAAATTTGAGACAAAGCTGATACTTGCACTGCATTTAGCTGGATTCGTTCAGTCTCCTGAGGAATGAAACATCTTTTTCAGATCCTGATCCAGCAGATCTCTAGTTTTACGTTCCTTATTCCTAAGATGAATCCACACTAAAATGATTCCAGCAGAAACTCTTGGGATTCCACCTATTCTTCCAGGCTTTGCATAAAATAAAATCAGCATGATCTGAGCCGTCTAAATGTCAGTAATCTGCTTATGAGGGTTTAGTTTAGGATTAATCAGTGTTTGCTAGACTGACTCTCCGTCTTTAATATGAATCAACAGGTTAAACCGAACGGACTGTGAATGAACTGTTAAATGAACATTCATGTCACAAAGCTCACCGCAAGGGACAGAATCGATTCAAATCCATAAAAAATACTGCTAGCGGGCATAGACACTTCTTAGCTGCATCTTAACTGAAATAGCAACTGATTTGAAATGCTCAATTTAACTCTCAATTGATTCTAATGCAGTTTGATGTCAGCATGTTGTTAATATTGACACACATATAGGCTAATAAGTCATTTTTATTAGATTAAACCGCTTGTCTCGACTCATCCACCATATTGAATAGCTTATTGTAGTTTATTCTGGAATTGCAACAATGATGCAAACAAAGAATTTGGCCAAAATGAGGTATTTTACAAGGCAACAATTATGCCTACGATGCATTAAAATGCTAAATAGGGAGCTCACTAGGTTTTGGAGCATAGCTGTAGACCACCATAAAAACCAGGTCAACACTCAGAACAACAGTTTATCAGACCGAGCCTAAAAAAATGAACAAGCACAACACTGCAGTAAACAACAACAGCAGCCATTGGACATGTTTGCCAGCAGAAGGTCAGAATGCTGCGAGGAGAAAATGTCTGTGACCTTTCCGGTAAAGTTCAATACGTTTTGAGCACTCAAAATGCAGAAAGTGACGTCAGGCCAGATCCTATTGATCAGAGAACGACAAATACACAAACACACGTTACAGCTGCAACCCAATTACAAGTGATGTGATACGTCCAGAGGAGGAAGTGAACCTCACTCGCATCTGTTTCTCAGTGGGACCAGTTTAACCTCTCTACGCCTCTGTAATTGAAAAGAGAGAGGGGGTAGATGGGAAACCCTGCGCACCTGCCTGTGTCACCACCCGACATTTACCGAGATTGTTTTTATAATGCTGTGATTTCCAGAGAAGTTCTGCTCACGCTCCTTCAAATTTCTCCAAACGCCAGGTGCTCTTGAAGGTCTCCGATATCTAATCACATCCTCCAAGCAGCACTCTGGTTACTCGGGTGAACGCTGTCCTGAAATCTCTTCCACAGCTGACTGGATTTCTCTGTAATTACAGAGCAGCTGTCTCGAAGTCTTGACAATGCCAGACTCCTCCAGAAACTCTGCACTGCACTGTTTCTCTCTAAGGCTTTTCACACTGCGCTTAACCCTGGGTTAACATCTTTTTAACCGATGTGTCACACTTTCGAAAGGGGGTTAGCATTACTTTTAACCCTGGGTTATAAAGCGCTGCTGACCCTGAATTACATACCAAAGTGGTACAACATGAAACTAGAGTGCTGGAATATTTTGGCAAGACTTTAAATGAAAGGTTTAAAAGGAAAAAATCCCAGATTTTCAACATGGTCTCAGACTTTTCATCTCACCCTTTACACCCTGTACTGTACACCTTGTGTCCAGTCTTGTAAATATGCAAATAAGAACATTAGTCCAGAGTTTACACTGTAAAATCCAGAAGCCTGACTAGTCAGGATTAAATGACAAACCTGGGGCTTGTGTCATAAAACAAGTTTAGCAAATAAGCCAGGCTTATTTCAGTTAGTCTGATTTATTTTGAACCAAATCAACTGACAATGAGTCAGACTAACTGAAATAAACCTGGCTTATTTGGTAAACTTGTTTCAGGACACAGGCCCCAGGAATTGAGTTTATCAAGGCTTGGTTTTGATAGTAAAACTTTTGAATTCATTCCATCTGAGTGCTGGATGAATCCCTAGATAAGGGGTGTCCAAACTTTTCCTAAAGGGGGCCAGATTCGATGATGTGGAAACACTGGGGGGGCCGGATGCTTCTACCTATATACAGTGGGTACAGAAAGTATTCAGACTCCCTTAAATTTTTCACTCTTTGTTATATTGCAGCCATTTGCTAAAATCATTTAAGTTAATTTTTTTTCCTCATTAACTGCGGGCCACTTAAAATTCATCCACGGCCACATTTGGCCCGTGGGCCGTAGTTTGGACACCCCTGCCCTAGATGATCTGCTAATATACAGTTCATGAAATGGGGCATCTGTGAGATTACTGTGGCCGGCTGTATCATTTCCCTCATGTTGTTCTGTTTGTGTGTTAATTATCATTAAGCAGATGTTTAAAAGGCGAAAATGGTGATAAAGCAGGTGGGAGACATCCGTAACTCCTCTGTGTGCTCATAGAGGATGTGCTCGGGAACTACATTTGTAACAATAGTCATTAGTAGTGTCACACGTAGACCGCTCTGTGGACTACATGAAAATCCAGCCGGCTGTGGAAGAAGGCCAGCGTTTAGACCATAATATACTGATTTAAAGTATTTAAATGACACCGGGTAGTGTCAAACGCAGCCTATAATATGTGCTAACACTGATGTTTGCTTAGCTGTCCATAGAGACGCGTCTCAAAACCTGAGGATTATTCCCGTTTAGTCGGAGGATGACACATGGCTAAATGTCAAAACATTACAGACGTGAAGCTGTTTAAAATGCCTTGAGACTAGTATATAAAGATCTCTCTTCCTGTCAGTGTCGTTGTTTTTAATGTTTGTTTCTGGTTTGTGTGTTCTTTTTGTAAATTTCTTGGTGCTGGACTCGTCTCAAAATGTACAGGACTGTGATTGTGTCAGTCTGTTGTTTAGGCTACAGACTGAAATTTAGGTTTTGATTTCTGCAGCTGCGGTTTTATTTATTTATGTTTGTTTTGAATGCTTTAATGTGGAGTAACACAACTACATTTCTGAATGTTCTGACTGATATTGTGACTATTTTGATGCTAATGAAGCACATTTTCAACATGAATTCTCATCAGTGTAATGCAGAAAAATCACATTTTCTATACATGTAATTTATATAACAGTTCTTTCAGGTCCTTGAATCTGATTGGCTGATAAGAGTGTGATATTCTAGTGATAACTAGGGATGCTCCGATCTGCCTTTTTTGCCTCCGATACCGATTCCGATACCTAGGGTTCGGTATTGGCCGATACCGATTCCGATCCGATACCAGTGAAGTTTTTTTCCCTCATTTAAATAAATGTAGAATTTATATATCTCTGTGTGTGGAACTGATAATCATTCTTTCACAATCTACTACAGACTACATCATTATAAAGAAAAATAAAATAAACAAATATGAAAAAATATAGGCCTATGTATATTTATAATCTATGACAAAAATTTATCATAAACTAGGTTAGTGGATAATTCGGCAGCAAATTGTACGCTTCAGGGACCAGCCAAGACTGATCACACCGGTGTGATTGTACGCTTCAGGGACCAGCCAAGACTGATCACACCGGTGTGATTGTACGCTTCAGGGACCAGCCAAGACTGATCACACCGGTGTGATTGTACGCTTCAGGGACCAGCCAAGACTGATCACACCGGTGTGATTGTACGCTTCAGGGACCAGCCAAGACTGATCACACCGGTGTGATTGTACGCTTCAGGGACCAGCCAAGACTGATCACACCGGTGTGATTGTACGCTTCAGGGACCAGCCAAGACTGATCACACCGGTGTGATTGTACGCTTCAGGGACCAGCCAAGACTGATCACACCGGTGTTCTCGTACGCTTCAGGGACCAGCCAAGACTGATCACACCGGTGTGATCGTATGCTCCAGGGACCAGCCAAGACTGATCACACTGGTGTGATCGTACGCGTTAAAGGGTTACGCTATCATATGGCTTCAGAAGTAACACAGAATAATTCGCACAATCAAAAAAAAAAAAGAAAAATCTCGGATTTGGATCGGCTCTCTCTGACCGATACCCGATCCGAGAAAAATGGCACTATCGGAGCCGATACCCGATATGAATATCGGATCAGCGCATCCCTAGTGATAACAGAACTGTTTCACTGCTTGTATCACTCCGCTTGTGGTATTTCTCACAGCGAGTGTCATGGCATACGTCCAAATCCACTGTAATTTTAAAAATACTGTTTTTGTGTCACATACTGTAGTTTTTAAGAGTTTTTTAGGGGAGAATGTAGTTGTTTAGACTTTTAATATGCAGTTTGTTAATAAAGATAACGTGTATTTGAAAATTTGCTGCAACGTTTTTGGAAATGTGAGCTCCAGGGCATCAGCGGCCGTTCAGCACTCATAAACCTGCCGAGAGCAGCCTTACCCTGGCCAGATCTTCTGGAATTTTCAGCTGGCTCTGATGTCTCTATAGTGATTAAACATGAGATATAATTTGTTTTGGGTAAATCTAACGGGCAGTCTTTGGTCTCATTAATCTATCATTTGTTCCAGAGCAAAGAGTTTTGGCTTAGGGCAAAATCTCATCACATTATATTTTATGTAACATTAATGCTGTATTAATGCTGCCTTTACTTTGCCTAGCAACTTTTATGATGGCTGTTGTTGTTTATTAAGTATTATTATTCAATAAATAATATTTATATAAATAATAGTTGTATTTAATAATAGTATTTAGTATTGAGGTGTGTGTAAGTAATGGTGATTTTAGTTACATTATTCTGCCATTCAATGGTGACGAGACCATTTCTTTTATGAGTGAGTCAGCAGTAAAGACTTTTATATTGAAAGAGATTCAAACAGGGATTTAAACAAGGAAGTTATTTTTACTTTCAACAACACCCTCTAAGACGCAGCCAACAAATGCACTGAGCAGCGCTGTCATCGGAAATTTTTGTCTTTGGGTTGTTATATGAATTGCAATGCTCGGGTAAACCGCTATAGAGTGGATATCGCTATAGAGTTAGAACCGGTGAATGTGGTTTACAGGTTTCATAGAAAGAGAATGATGTGCGCCAAATGAGTCACTGTAGAAACCGAATAGTACTTCAATGGTTGTAGACAAAATAGCTCAACACAAGAGCCAATGCAAACGCAAAGACATGTGAAATAAAACGTCATCGTGTTTTAAAGAAGAGTGGCTTGATTAAGTGCTGGAAATAGCTGAGGATGGGCACAGAACGGTAACATTTACAGTCACACACAGACATTTTTTTGAAAATATTTCACTTACAGATCTCAGTTTAAATGCTTCAGTTTGTTTTGATATTATACGCTATAGAGTTAGAAGCGGTGAATGCGGTTTACAGGTTTCATAGAAAGAGAATGATGTGCGCTGAATGAGTCGCTGTAGAAACTGAATATTTTAATGGTTGCGGACGAAATAGCTCAAATTGAGAGCCAACGCAAACGCAATGACATGTGAAATAAAACGTCATCATGTATTAAAGAAGACTGGCTTGATTAAGTGCTGGAAATAGCGGATGATGGGCACAGAACGGTAACAAAACTCAGACATTTACAGTCACACAGGTGTATTGTGCAAACTGTACTTCATAGCCTATAGGGATGTTTAGATAGCTATAGAAGAAGTCACGTTCACGTTTTTTAAAAATATTTAACTTACAGATCTCAGTTTAAATGCTTCAGTTTGTTTTCTATTCTATTCTATCAGTTTAAATGCTTCAGTTTGTTTTGATATTATATTATGTTAGGCCTATATTATAAACCTAATAAATAATTGACCTTGTTTTTTAATGGAGTCTCTTATGCTCATCAAGGATGTATTTATTTGATCGAAAATACAGAAAAAAAACTGTAATATTGTGAAACATTATTGCAATTTCTAATAATAGTTTCCTATTTTAATATACTTCAAAATATAATGTATTCCCGTGAAGCAAAGCTGAATTTTCAGCATCATTACTCCAGTCTTCCGTGTCATATGATCCTTCAGAAATAATTAATATGCTGATTTATTATCAGTGTTGAAACGGTTGTGCTGCTTAATATTTTTTATTTACTCCAGTCTTCAGTGTCATATGATCCTTCAGAAATAATTAATATGCTGATTTATTATCAGTGTTGAAACGGTTGTGCTGCTTAATATTTTTTATTTTTTTGGAACCTGTGATACTTTTTTCGTTGATTCTTTGATTAATAAAAAGTTAAAAAGAACAGCATTTATTCCAAATATAAATCTTTTCTATTTCAAAATAGAAGTCTTTACTATCACTTTTTATCCATTTAACACATTCTTGCTGAATAAAAGTATTAATTTCTTAAAAAAAAAAAAAAAAAAAAAAAAATTACTGACCACAAACTTTTGAATAGTAGTGTATATTGTAACACAAAATTTCTATTTTGAATAAACACTGTTCTTTTTAACTTTTTATTTATCAAAGAATCCTGAAAAAAATATCACAGGTCCCCAAAAAAAATATTTTTTTTAAATTATAAATCAGCATATTAGAATGATTTGTGAAGGATCATGTGACACTGAAGACTGGAGTAATGATGCTGAAAATTGCTTTGCTTCATAGGAATAAATTATATTTTAAAGTATATTAAAATAGAAAACTTTTATTTTAAATTGCAATAATATTTCACAATACTATTTTGTGAAATAATATTCAGTATTTTTATCAAATAGATACAGTCTTGATGAGCTTAAGAAACTTCTTTAATAAACGTTATTAATCCCAAACTTTTGAATGGCAGTGTATTATACTGTAAAAAAAAAAAAAAAAAAAAAAAAGTACATCATTTAGTCACGGGTCAAATTAAATACAAATAGCACATTAAAGTTAAAAGTTACACACTTTTTTTGTGTGCGCGCTGTACAGGTCTGGTATAAAGAATGTTTTTGCTCAGGTGGCCGAAATGTCCGCCCAATAGAGAAAAGTTTTGCTCAGCAAGAAAAAAAATTAGAGGGAACATTGCTCATGGTTATAAAATAGACTTCATTTTCACTACTAAAAATATAATGTCCTGTTTTTTGTTTGATTTTGGGCTGAGATATGATGTGGACAGCTTTGTGAGATTCACCCAAGAAGAAATTTGGTCTCCCACAACCACAAACATGATTTGATTTTCAAATGAGAGCGAACGGCCGACACAGAGGTCGACCCTGCCCTCTGGAATGAATATTATTTAGTTATAGGATTCTCAGAATCCATGTTTAATTTTCATGAAGGCCACATCATGAAATAAAAACAGCAGCTTTATTTCTGTGAGAGAAAGAAACAGGCAAAATCAAGGTGTATGTGATCGATAAATAAGAGTCAAAGAGATGGACAGACGATCTGACTGGATGAAGACAGACAGAAAGGTGGTTGATATGCACAGACGGCTCTCTGCTCTTGTAATTGGAGGTCAGTGCATCTCCAATGTGCAGTGGATTGATTTCAGTAACATTTCCCCTCATTTATTTTCCTCTTACACAAAGATCAAGCCTCCGTCTCTAGATGCATCACCAAGATTCAATGTCACTGGCTTTTACAGGATTAGCATCCATCTCTGTCTGTCGCTCTCAACATGGTTCACACAGTCAGCTTTTGAGATTGACAACTGTATTTGCTAATGGATGGGACTCTCAGACTGTGTGGAAGATAGAATAATGTTTATATGTAGTTAACAAGTCAATTCGTAATACCATACCAATAGGTATTGATTATTTTGTATATCCGCCAATCAATACTCAACAGGAAAATGTTATTGCTCTACGTCCACAAATCAATGCTATTTTCTTAAAATTAAGTCCGTGTTCTGCTTTTAATCGCAAGCACAACTTTGAGTAAATGAGGCTTTCTATAGAATATGCCAGATTCATTAGTCACTGACATTCACCTCACGTAATTAATGTTGCATTAGCACTTGTGGAAAGCAGTAGTAGTAATGCTGTACAGTCCAGAGTTTGACATTAGCATGCTGCCAAGCTAACAAGGCAATATCCTAACAAGCAGAAAAATAAGGACCATACACAAATTTTAGGTAAAATTGCTGTTTTTAATTAGGCTGAACTATTTTTAATGGTTCTTTTCCTACTGAGCTGGTTGCAGTGCATTCTGGGATTGGAAACATGCCAAAATAAGGTATCTTAGGAGGCAGCATAATAATGCCGTCTGTCTTTGAGAACAGTTTTAACATCAAGGACCCACCTATAATGCCTTCAAATTCTGCTCATGTTGCAAGCTTACTAGTTTTCGGGGTGAAGTCAACATGTCAGATGCTGTCGGTAAAGCTTGCATTGTTTTGAACCTGAAACATTCCTCTAAGGTTTCAGTAGGATGTTTGTAGATAGTGAATTCATATGCGGTAACGTTGCGTAAAGCATTAGCTTGCTTTACCTTTTGTGTCTGTATTTTTAGTGCATATGCTGCATTTGTTTATGGTGTACGTGTGTGTGCATTTCTCAAGCTGATAGTGAGTTGTCTTCAGGGATTATAGCGTTGTCCAAAACCTAGTAATGTGCCAAATAGACTTTTTGCAAAGGCTGTTCCAAAATGTATGCAGAAACATTATGCAGCCTTTTAAGATACTTTGTTTGGTGGACTGCAGCATTGCATGTATACTAAATAATTCAGCTTGAGAGAGATGTCAGCATACTTCAATATAAATTCCTATATTTAATTTAATATTGAAAGATATCAAATATAGTTGAAATTGTGAACATTTATGCTTATTAGATTAAGGGCCAGTTTTACTAACAGCTTTTGGAATTAAAATATTACTGTCAGGTTTTACCAAAGACACGCAGAGACGAATTAGCGCTGAAAAGGCGTGGACACAGTTATTTTTGCGACTGACCTTATTGAATATGCATTTGTAGGAGTTTCCCTTTCTGACGCAAAATTTATGGGAGGGGAGTAATAAAATGAATGAAGCAACGAGATTTACTAAAGTTTGAGCTCGTCAAATTACTGGTATTTGCGGCATTATTTAACGCCCAAAAAAGCATGCCTTAAACTATTTTGTGCTTGAAATGGCTGCAATTATTTTGCTAGAGGAAGCACCGCAGAGAACAGAGAGTGCGTGGTAGAAGGGAGAGAATTTTTTCCACACGTATTAATTTATTTGGAATGCCAGAAGAACAAATTATCCGAACATATAGTTTGCCAAGCCATGTTATTTTTAATTTGCTTCAAGAAATAAAAGACGACTTGGAACCCTCAACTAGGAGTCACGTAATACCAGGTCTATCAAAACTTCTTGCAACCCTTCATTTTTTAGCCTACGGTTCTTTTCAATGTACTGTGGCTTCTTTATTCTTTATTTGCAACTACACTTATTTAGGCCTGTCGCAATAATCAATATATCGACTTATCGCGCAATATATGTACATGGCCTCAATCATTTTTGGTGACGCAATATATCGGCCGTTATATTTACTTAAAAATTAATGTCACCATGTTTTGTACATTCCACTTGTGCCTGTGTCTTTTGCAGCTTCTCGTAAATAACGTGGTGTAGTCATGAGGTGCTAGTTCACGCTTATCGCAATTATTTCTGGGGCAATATATCGCACAACAAGAAGTTGTTATCGTGACAGGCCTACACTTATTTGCGCTGCGCTTGGTATATTATATTATACATATTGGTCAATATGTAAATGAGATGTTGCGTCTGTGTTCTTTAAATTTGCGCATTGTTAGTAAATCACCCGCAGAAATGTCCACACTCATCTGTGCTGTTTTGGAATTTTGGAAGCCATTGTGATTTGTGTCTCCTGTACACGCCATGTGAGGAGCAATATATGTGTTGAGCTGTTTTGCAATGTGTTTCAAATAATTATATTTGTAATGAATTCACATAAGAGATTTAACAAGATACTATTGCTATTTCTTTCTGTCTTGTAGCTGACGTATCTCCCTCCTCCATGGGGCGACTGTAAGGCAACACCCATGGACTCTGATTTCTTCAACACATACAGTATCACCGCCTGCCGCATCGACTGCGAGACACGATACCTGGTGGAGAATTGCAACTGCCGCATGGTGCACATGCCCGGTAAACACACACACACACACACCCAGTAATGTATCAACAAAACCAGATATATGATGTCTGCAATGTTATAAATCTATCTCTGCTATTCTCTTCTGAACACCAACAGACAAAGCACCAATATTTCTCCTGAAGTTCATCATTTTGGGTTTGATTCTGTAGCCTAATTCTCAATTAAACACCCTACAATCTTAAATTAGTAGCTACAATGATAGAAGTTTGTGAGAATCTCATTTCCCACAAAGTCTCATCTTTTTTTAGTGTCTCTACTAGTGTGTTCTGCCCAGCAGTTATTTACTAAATTAACAAATTAATTGCTAATTCTTGTGGTTTGTTATTCCTTTTCAGAACAAAATGTTTTCAAGCTGTTGCTTTTCAAGCCTATGATCATTTAAACCCTCGCCGTGCCCTAAAGCTGTTTAGCATGTTATCTTGCTTAAATTCTAGTTGCTAGTTTTTGGCTTAGTGAAAGTAAGAGGATTTTAACCTGAGTGAATAGAAAACCATAATTTTATGCAGCCCTGTTAGGATCCAGCACCCCACTGAGTTCTGTACGTCTGTTTGAAATACGGCCCTCTGATCATCTCTAAAGACTAGATCTGAGCTGCGTCAAACAGGGATTTGCTGTATCTTCAACGCCATCTACACTGTGACATAACTGGAATGCTCTGGTTATAATCAACAAAGCTGTCTCCACTGCATGCAGACAACATTGTAATCAACAGGAACATCACAGACAGTATCTTTGTAGACCTTTTTTTTCATTATAACTATAGACTTGTAGCCAACTTTATTGATTTTAACAGAGCCTTGTTGATAAGCAAACTAGTTCATTATTACAAGAACATTCTAATTTTGTCACATCACTGGCTTACACGGTCTAGACATGTTTTTTCATTCAGCGTCTCGTTGATTGTATGCGCTCTTTCTCTCACTGCAAGAGTCCTTGAGCTATTCGAGGAAACTTCAAGACCTGAATAAATACAATTAATTAAAAGAGGAAATCTGATTTTTGAGGAAATGCTCAGAGCTGATAACAACAGCGTGATGGACGGCGACATGTTTTAATTAACAGACAGAGGCCATTTCCTTTCACCTTTAGCCAGAACATTGTGTTCTTCTCTCTCCGCGGCACATCTTTTGTTCTTTATCCTCACGCTTTTCTTAAAGTGTAACTTGCACAAAAATACATTCAGCTCTTATTTCACCCCAAATTCAAAAGCAGATAATAAGAAAATGCATTATGTATGAAGAAAATCGGCCCTATTTTGTATAGTAACTATTATTTGCATCACAATTAAGCACATTTCTCATTACTTTAATGAGTGTGGGCATTTTACCTTAGGGTTTGTTTGTAATTCTCATTATTCTTAATGATGTTTCTCATTAGATTCTCATTACTGTAATAAAGTCACAAAAATCCTCTTGTCTCTTTTTATTGACATCAGCATAAATTAAAGACTGCACACAAATACTACTATACTGTATATACTTCATCATTTAAATAGATACTTTTAGAAAATGTTGTTTTTGAGGTAAGGTTAGGACAGCAAGATTTGTAATGTTTTTTAAAGAATTCTCTTCTGCTCACCAAGCCTGCATTTATTTGATCCAAAATACTGCAAAAACAGTAATATTGTGAAATATTTTTACTATATAAAATAACTGCTTTCTATTTGAATATATTTTAAAATGTAATTTATTCCTGTGATTTCAAAGCTGAATTTTAGCGTCATTACTCCAGTCACATGATCCTTCAGAAATCATTCTAATATTCTGATTTGCTGCTCAAAAACATTTCATTATTATGTTGAAAACTGCTAAATAGAATGTTTTTAGGTTTCTTTGATGAATAGACAATTCAGAAGAACAGCGTTTAACTGAAATAGAAATCTTTTGTAACATTATAAATGTCTTTATCATCACTTATATATATAATTTTTTTGCTTGATTATAAAACGTGTTTTGGGCATTATGATTTGTATTTTTTGCACTGTGACATTTTTATGGCAAAAACAAACTGTACTGCCTACAGTTTTTTTCGTTTTTTTTTTTTTTTTAATATATAAAATTGTACTGTACTGTAGATGTTTCTGGGAGCCGTCTTTGCTTATATAGGCTGTGTTTCTCTGTCTTTAGGAGATGCTCCATATTGCACTCCGGAACAGTACAAGGAATGTGCAGATCCGGCTCTAGGTGAGAAATTTGCCTCCTCTGTTGAAACGTTTCAGTCTAGAGGCCAGTTCTCCTCGCTGAACCCATCCGCTCCTCATTACTGATGTCTGAACCTGAGGCCATGATGGGACAGCACGATTTATGACCCCTTCTAACCTCACCACCAACTTCCCCAGGCCTTTTTATACTTCATCATCTGTCCTGTTGTTTTTCCAGCCAGGATTTTTGAGGTTAAGAGAAATGTTCTACCTTTTTCTCTGGCTCTAGATTTTCTGGTGGAAAGAGACAATGACTACTGCGTTTGCGACACGCCCTGCAACATGACGCGCTACGGCAAAGAGTTGTCCTTCGTCAAGATCCCCAGCAAAGCCTCTGCCAAATACCTGGCCAAGAAGTACAACAAGACGGAGCAGTACATTGCGTGAGTTTCACTTAAATTAGGGGTGCGCCGATTGATTGGCTACCGATCACTATCGGCCGATAATCGCTTTGGGATGATTGACCGGCGGGCTCTAAAAAGGCAGATCTCAAAAAAACGATCTCAAGCTGATGACGCTGCCATGAGAGGTTTGGCACGACATGCAGATGCGCCATCTCAGTCTCTGTCCGGCGCGGGTGAAATAATTATAATGCTATATTTCTTCATTAAATAACTTATAACGTAATTTGAAAACCTTGTGTGAGACGTAACTTCACAAACAGCGTGAGTGAATCACCACGCGCTCTCTCTCTTCCTCTCTCAAAAATACGCAAATGGCTTCAAATCACCACACATCGCGTCTGTCTATAAGCGAGCTGCACACTGCACAATTGACACAGGAATTGTCACTTGCACAATCGAGGCAGTGTCACATCGTCACTAAAGTTTATAAATTGCATTACTTTTAAATTCTTACCAGTGTTTAACCATTCAGCGCTTGCGCGCTCTCCTGGAGACAGTGTGCTCATGCACACTTGCAGCGCACACACATAATGCCAGGTTCACATTACTCCGTTTGCAGTGCGTATGTGGGGTGTATTTTTTCCGCGCTCATGTTAACAGATTAATAAAGCACGCACATGGTAGCAGTCCAGCAGTGCGTTCCACGAGTGGTGCGTTTGCAGCAGTGCAGAGATCGTTTCCGCACCGAGTCTATGTTTGCTTTAAAGCATTTTTTGCAGTAAATATGAACATGGATTGACACTAAAATGTAGTAATTACACCATAAATGCATATTATTAAAGTCTACTGTGTTTCACAGTCAACACATATGGCTTTTTGGCTAGGTTTAAAGG